ATCAAGGTTAGAGAAGCCATTTAGGGGTTGATTGTTACTCACATAGGGTTGGGGGCCGGGATGGAAATTATATAGGCCTAGAAATCTCAAAAGGGAAGATTGAAGGGGTAATAGGTAATTTAGTGTGAGCTTCACTAATAATAGTAATAATAGTGAGTAATAGAAAGAATACTTGTGAGCTATTATTTATGGATATAATTTACACTGGTGTGGTTTCCTGTATACTGATACAAGTTCAAATTATATTTGTTATTTCTGTTTACAATATTTGGACACCTATGCAAGGTTATTTTATACCTGTAATATGCTTTATATTATAATAATCAAAAAACTGTTTCATTTTATTAGACACATATGCTGGCCCATTGTCTGTTTTTATTTGTCCTGGTATACCCATGATGACCAAAACTTCTAAAAAAAATGCAGAACTGCTGACGCAGCCTTTTCTGAGTTCTAGGCAGTTGCCCACTGAAAACTTGAATAAGTGACAATGGTGTGGTGTACATATTTTAATTTTCCTAATCCTGTAAAGTGGAACACATCCATCTGTCATATTTCATTCCCTTGAGTACCCTTTGGGTTTGGTGTTTGGTTATAGAAAGAGCAAGTAGTACATCTCTTTATAATCTCCTTAGCTTGTTGTCATGTAGTAGAAAACTCTTTCTTTAAACCTTTGCTATTGACATGATGTTTCTTATGAAATTCTGAGGGCTTCAGCATGCTTCCAATCAATAACTGATCAATTTCTGTATTGCCTTATGCTAGAGGACCTGGCAGACCATATGGAATTGGATGTGTGTTATGTATATGGGACAAAGCTTATTCCTGATTATATCTTGAACCTGTATGAATAATGAAGTCAATTCTGTATCATCTGGTATAAATTCAGCAGTTTCAGTATGTAAGACAACTTTTTCTGCATATTGTGAATCAGTAATTATATTGAGAGGATCATTAAAATTCCTTAGTACCATGAAAATAGCATTCTGTCTTTTGGGCAGAATTATAAGGGCTTTGTTCCCCCTTACATAAATCTTATGTTTTGTAACCTGCTTTTCTGGTTTATTTATGTCTGTATAAAATGTATGGGCTCCAGTTATTGGTATATCATGTACAATTCAAGGAAGAATCCAAGTAGTTCTCTTTATAAGGTTAATTCTATCATTTTTGGGACAATTGCTATTAATTTCTCCCAAAAAATTAGCACAAGTTCTTTGCCTTCCCATAATTTTTAAATTTAATCAGCAATAAAGGGAACTATAATTTCTGCTGGGTCTTTACCTGCTATTTGATGAAGTCTCAACTTTCTTTTTATAATTAATTCAGAGACTTTTTTCCACATAAGATTTTAATTTTTTCTTCATTTATGTGGCAAAAAGATCCATCTTAAGATAATATCTTCTGATAGGAGAAATTCTGGAAGGCAATATGACTAAAATAAAATTAAGATTTGGATTCAACCTATCCACACGTGCCTCCTGTAATTTTCCTCAACAATTGTCAATTCCTTTTTTGCTTCAGCTGTTAATTCTCTGGTACTATTCAAGTCTTTAACACCATCTAAGGTTTTGTTTAAATGAGTTATTAGATCAGGTATTATCCCAATAGCTGGTCATAGACTGAAAATGTCTTCTAACAATCTTTGAAAGTCATTAAGAGTCCGCAACTGTCCTTTCCTAATTTTGACTTTTGTGTTCTAATTTTCTGTAAACCAATTTTGTAACCTAGGTAATTGACAGAATTCTTTGTATTTTTTTCAGGAGCAATTTGTAATTCCCATTTAGGCAAAACTTTTTTTTTTTTACTTCTTCAAACATCATTTATAAAGTATCTGCATTTGAGTCAGATAACAAAATGTCATCAATGTAATGGTTAATTATAGACTTTGGAACTTGCTGGTCTATTATTTTCAATGGCTGATTTACAAAGTCTAGGCACATGGTGGGACTATTTAGCATTCCCTATAGGAGGATGGTTCACTAATATCTCCTAGTAGGTTGAGAATTATTATAAGTAGGTACTGGGAAACAAATTCTTCTCAACCTTTTCTTGTAAATGTATAGTAAAGAAACAATCCTTTAAATCAATAACTATAAGAGGCCATCCTTTTGGTAATAGTGAAGGCAGAGGAATTCCAGACTCTAGAAGGCCCATAGATTGGATAAACTTGTTGATAACTCTTAGATCTGTCACCATTATTCATTTTCCATATTTCTTTTTAACAACAAATACAAGAGAATTCCAAGGGCTGCTTGATTCTTCAATATGGTGAGCATCTAATTGTTCCTGTACCAGCTGTTCTAAAGCCTACAGTTTGTCTTCTGTTAAAGGCCATTGTTTAACCCATGTGGGTTTCTCAGTTAACCATTTTAAAGGCAAGGCTGTTAGTACCTCTGAAGGTTTGCTAGTTGCTTTGTGTTCTTGTACAGCCTAAATGGCTGGTGACCTTCATTTTTGATATCTATAATATCCTTCCTAGAAACATGAGTTTTGGGGACTGCAGGAAGGTTAACCTGGGTATTTCATTGTTGCAATAGGTCACAGTACCATAAATTCACTGCATTATTAGTTACATATGGCCTCAGCCTTCCTTTCTGTCTTTCAGGCCCTATTCATTCAACCTACCTCATGCTTTGTTTTACTTGAGATAGGGTTCCTTGGAATTGAATATCTGCCTCTTGAAGAGGCCGATCTGAATGCCAAGATTCTGGGGGAATGATAGTCACATCCACACTTGTGTCTAGTAATCCCTCAATTACAACATTGGTTAGCTCTTCCTGACTTCTTCAGTCTTTTTTCTTGTATCATCCTGGAACATCTTCAGAGTGATAGCACCATCCATTGTGGGATGGAACATTCTACACCCATCGTTAGTTAGGATGCTCTATAAGACTAGATCTCTGGCTAATATGCTGGGGCATTTCCACAATTGATGATCCTTCTACCTAAATGATTGAAGTCTGCTTCACGTTGGCAAAGACTAAGTAGGAAAAATATTATTTAACTCTGTTTATATTCGTGTATGTGTTGTAGAATATTATTTTAAGTTGTGGAACATTTGTTTATGCTGTGAAACTTTTTTAATGATGCAAAGCTGCATTTCAATCTTTTATGTTGTATTTGCTTACCTCTGTGAAGCTATGGTTCTTTGCCTGTCTGAAACACTTGATGATCTAATAAAGAGCTGAATGACAAAGAGTGAGACAGGAGAAATGAAAGGTGGGAATAGCAGGGCAAAGAGAATAAATAGAAAGGGAAATCAGGGAGGAAAAGAAGGAACAAGACAGAACAATGAGAAGATGACATCAGGGGTCAGACATCCAGCTACACAGAAAACTTTGGAGAAAGAAGTAAAGTAAGATGTACAGAAGAAAAGGAAAAAAGCCCCGAGGCAAAAGATAGATGGGATAATTTAATGTAAGAAAAGCTGGCTAGAAACAAGCCACACTAAGACTAATCACTAATCATTCATTTGTAATAGTAAGTAAGGCTCTGTGTGTTTGTCAGTTGGGTGGTGGTATCCCCCAAAAGTCAAAAGAGTAAAAAGAGTATAATAATCAACAGCAATGTGTCAATACATATCTGTATGTGTGTATGTATGTATAAACACACACACACACACACACACACACACATATATATATATATGTATAATTTTTTTATGATGAACATAACTTTATTGTTTTCAATGTTTGATGTCATTCTATTAATTATAATTGATTATATAAAAATAAATCCAAATAACATTTTGTGCTTATATCTTATGATTTTATTAGACACTGAAAAGTCCATGAAAAGTTTAATTATACTGTAAATTTCAAAACATACATTTCAAAACATACTCTGAGGGAGAAGATACAAATCCCAATTTCTAATGTCATTAAATCTGAGACTTTACAATCACAAGGAAGTTGTTATATAAACTAAGATAGTGTACAATCGCATTCATTTTAGACAGCAAGCACAATGTAATGGGAAGTAGGGGTCACCTGTATGTAAGTGAAAATTATTATGCAGGTTTTTTTGTTATTGCTCTACAATCGTTACTATAGTATACTTCATACAAACCATGTTAAACCCAGATGTGGATATGAGAAAGACCCAAGCCTCTGGTAGCTTGGTATTAGCAATTAGATGGTCATGATAGATGAGCTGAGACTTCTCTCAGAGTTCTACTACACCTCTGGGGAGTGTATTGGTCATCAATACCAGCTACACTTTGTTGTGTGTTCAATGTTTTATTTGTTGTAGCAGGTTTTATAGCAAAGAATAAAATAGAGGGACCAGTCTCTGAAAGTCATTAAAAAAAATAAAACCTGTGAGGTAAGAAGAATCTTCCAATACAGAATCAATGAAGTGTCTTTTGATAAAACTATAATATTCAATACATTTGTGTGAGATTGAGTCCCATATTTAACAGCAAAACATGAGGAACAATGCATAGCTCATGATTTTCCCATAGAAACTGATCTCTCCCAGTCAACGAGACCCAGTTTTATTCTCAGTCACTGCAAATTAATAGGTGAAAAATGAATCTCAAAAATTCTTTCAAACTTTTAAAATATGAGAGCATATCCTTTACTCCTGAGGCTAGGGTTCAGAACAAGGATACTAGTCATTCTATCTTGTGATGCCAGAGGATTTAGACATTTTTTATACTCAATAGACAGCAAAAAATTATGCTCATTTAAATTTTTATATTATGAGCATATTCAGTTATAATAAGCATTGGAAAATCAAGAGTTCAGTTAATAGTCTAAGTAAAAACTTTAAGAGCAGAAAGAGAAAGGGTATCAGTGGGAAAATATCTCACGCTGGCTGGTATGAAGCAACTTCTTTGAGTAGTTCATATCCATCATTGATGGGCTGACTGGTACAATAAACTTTGGCATCAATCAATTAGATAATTTTACATGAAATTATAACAGTACAGAACACACAAATAGGCTATGGTAAGTTCAGTGTAGTCTGGCCGTTAATAGCACTTGCTTTCCTTACAGATCGTTTACATGGGCTGGTGCGAAGCACGGGAGCAGGAATCACTTCAGGACCGTGTGTACACACCTGTCTTTCTCGCCCTGAGGGGCTCCTGTCTTTACAGGTTCCCATCACCTCCAGTAAGTGCTTGCAACCAAATGTTTGAGCTCTTGGAGATGCTGATAGGAGACGGGCATGGCATAAATGATGCTTATTTAACAATACATCTTGAAAATGAGGCACGGCACAATTAGTAAATAGTTAAGATCTATTTAAAATGTTTTTTTTTATCAAATGTAAAGTTTTGAAGAAATGAGATGTTTTTGCTTAAGAATCTTCTAAACAGAACAAGTCATAATATTGTTAAAAATTCCGTGAAGTCATGGGGAAAGGTTTAAGAAATATCCCCACATATATGTGAGGGATTCAATCAACTTGATGAAGAAGTAAAGAAAAGATAATAGGTAGGATAAGAGATTTTTAAAAAATTATTATACATTAATTCTGTATTTGCGGACCCTTTGAGTGTCCTTAGTCTGTATTTGGAGTGTTTCATTGTCTACATTAAATGTTCAACTCGTGTTTAAATTTTAGTAACCCACAATACATAAAACCTCAGCATAGTAAGTCAATATTAAATCTAGGTCTGTAAAGCCAAATTCTATGATGTTAAAACTTTAAATGAAAGGCAAGTGTGATAGTACAAGCCTTCGATCTCAGGGGCTGGAAAATGGAGGAAAGAAGAGTAGGTGCTTAAGGCTGGCCAGGTGAACGTAGTGAGACTGTCAGACAATCAACTACTTTAATACAGAAAAACAAGAATAAGCTTAAAAAGTATGAAAAGATCAAATGAAATTACCTTGGGGAAAGAGACATATTTTCAGGAAACACATTAGTTTTCCCTATGGTAAAAATTACATAGGTAGATCAACCACTAAAGAAAAAGAGTTCATCTTGTCTAACAGTGTCAGAGGATTCAAGTGCTGACCATGCAGCCCTGTTTCTCTGGCTTAGAGCAATATTGTGCAACATGGTTGGGGTACAAGCCAGGGAAGACTGCTTACCTTATAGCAGCCAGAATATAGAAAGAATAAGAGGACTTTGGTTGTTAATGCTCCATGAAAGTTCTTGTCTCTGTTGACTTAAACTTCCTTGAATTATAGCCCAATTTCTAAATATTCTGCCATGTCCAAAACTATAACAGACCATTGACAGCCGTTCAATACATGGGTCTTTGGAGATATTCAAGTTCAGCTACAGCTGTCACTTCCAAATCAACATATGACCTTCCATATGATGTAGTTCTTTTGGAACTATGTTTGCAATATGTTATATAATATAATATACATACACTAAATATTTCTACACATCTCTTTCTTTAAAGCCTAGCTTTGAAAACATGTACCTGACAGAGAAGTAAAACTCAACAAATATTTATTGGCTGTAAACACAAAATGTCCTACTGCTCAAAGACAGGTTTAATAATATAAAGGAGTTTTCAAGTCTGAATCATTGTTATTTTTAATGTGTATGCCTACACAAAATTTATAGTACCAGAAAAAAAATATTTATATTTCTTTCTGTATTTCTTCCCTGAGTAATTTCTTCTGCTTGGAGAGGTGAAATATTTCAAAATAAGTAAGGGAACTATCTTCACAGTGGTGGTGTATCTTCCCAATATCTTAATAATTTTGGAATGCTTTTTAAATATCAACAACTTATTTTTAAATTATTGCGATCCAGGTTCATATTTTATGTCCTTCCCTGTGTCTTACTAAAGGAAAATACATACATATTACTTGCATTAATATATGTGTTCAGAGAGTACACAAATAGTTTTTTTTAATTTGTCAAATGGAAAGTGTTACTGACAACTTAAAATACTTTCTGAAAAGAGGAATACAAACAGTCATAAATTTCAAAAAAAAACCCAAATGGTGCAGAATGAACTTTATATGAACTCTGTCACTGATGGAGAAAATAAATGCATCTGTGAATGTGCCATTATCCAGATGAAGCAGCAGGGAGAAGAGCTGCGTTACTAGAGCCAATGAACTGTTGTTCTCTTTTAAAGGTGACCACATGGGATTGGACACGAGCAGAGAAAACTTTCTCCATATGTGAGATCATGTGCAAGGTTCTCAAGGTATGTGCAACAAGGGCAGGAGCTTCAGTTTGCTATGTTCCGCAGAGTCGGGATCTGAGCTCATGATGTGCTCATGAATACAAATAACAGATAAATAAAAGAAAATATGAAGAGAGAAAACAAATGAGAATTAAATGAGAAACAAATGAGTATTATGAGGAGGAAAACTGGCACATACAGAAACACATAGTTACTCAGAGAGTAAGTCTTTGAAATTAGATAATATGAAATTAAATATAGAAAATACTTGCTTAGCGTTGGGATCTGATAATCACTGTATATCATAGATCAGTTAATTTCTCTGTGTGTGACTCATAGAATTGCCATAGCAACAAGTCATCAGGAATTCTGAAAAAAAATTTAAATGATTTACACAGACTACAGTAAGAATTAAAGTGGGCTATTTGGAAGAAGCATCGGTGCAAGTTTCTTTTTAAAATTTTTATTTTGTAGGTTTAATGTCTACATATCTATAACATGAAGCTATGGAAATATTACATATATTAATATGTAAATAATATATAGAGATAGATGACATCATCTTGAAGCAAACTTGCATTTTCTTCATATCACAGGTTCATTCTCAATTATCAAAAAAGACAAATATTTTCAAGGTTAACAATATTAATTTATGAAAAGAAAAGTTTACATTCTTTTCCAGTAACTATACCAGGTGTGGTATGTGGTGGCACACACCTTTAGTCCCAGAACAAAGGAGACCAAGGAGATAGAGGCAGATGAATCTCTGTGAATTTGAAGCCAGTTTTGTCCACATAGCAAGAGATAGGTCCGTCAGTGTTACTTAGTGAGATCCTATTTTAAGAACATGATTTTTGAGATAATGTATAGATTCTTTTAAGCTTTGTCACCCTACTGTTCAAAATTTAAAGCAGTTCCTAATCTCTTATGTGTGTTCTGATGGCACTTCTTATGGCTCCTTCCTCCTTGCCCTTCTCACTCTCCAGTAACAGCTATGCAATTCTGTTCTTCTATGTCATCCGTATAGAAAAGAGAAGATGCAGCATTCGACTACTGTGCCTGTCTTATTTCACTTGGTATAATACTTTCCAGTTCCACCCATTTTATTCAATTTTTTATTCAATTTTTCATTCCTAATGTATATGCACTATGCCTTTACTATCATTCAACAACTATTGGGCACCTAGGCTAATTCCATTCATTTATTATTTTATTTTTGGTTTTAGAGAAGAGATTCTCTGTGTTATAATCCTAACTGTCCTGGAACTAGCTCTTGTAGACCAGGTTGGCAATGAACTCACAAAGATCTCCCTGTCCTGAGTGCTGAGCTTAAAGGCATATGCTGCCTGTCTGTTATACTTTAAATATAACAGTAATGAATAGTATGTTCAAATGACTCTATAGTATGATATGGAGGCTTATGTGTGGGTATATGCCTAGGAGTAAAATAACTAGATAATATAGAAGTTTTTTCCCTAGGTTTTTGAGAAACTTCCACATTGATTTCTATAGGGGCTGCACCAATTCATACTTCCATCATTAGTGAATTTATATTTTCTGTTTATATTTTCCACATGCCTTGCCAAACTTTTTGATTTGATCTCTTAGAGATATGCACTATGTTGTGTGAAATAAAAATATCAAAGAAGCACCTATTTGTATTTCGCTGGTAGCTAATGATGCTGAACATGTTTTGAAAAACATATTAAAGCTATTTGTAGCGTTTTTTTCTTCTGAGAACTCTCTGTTCAGTTTCTCAGCCCAATTTTCAATTGGTTTGTTTGTTTACCTGGTATTTTGTTTCTTGAGTTCATCATATATTCCAGATATTAAACCTCTTTGGTTTATAGGTGTCAAAACATTCTCCCATTCTGCAGCCTTGACTGTTTTCTTTGCTGTGAAGAAGACATTTTTTTTTTTAATTTCATTTGGTCCGATTTGTTACATGTTGGTCTAAATTTTCATGCTGCCAGATTCCTATTCAAAAAGCACTACCTAGGCCTATAAATTGCTGTACACTAGATTTCTATCTAACTCTTTCAGGGTCTCAGATGATGTGTTTAGGTCCTTGATCCATTTAGGGTTGAGCTGTGTATAGGGCGATAGACGAGGATTCATATTCATCCCTCCTATTCAGTTCTCCTAGCACCAATTGAGGATGCTGGATTTTCTGCAATATATATTTTGTTCCTCTTTGTAAAAATTAAGTTTCAGGGTATGAAGCCTTGTAGCTGAATCATTTCTTCTATTTTAATGGTCTACTTATATTCTTCAGGACTTGTTCCACACTGCTTTTGTTACTAGACATTTGTAATGTAACTTTAGACCAGGTGTGGTTAATCATCTCCATCACCAGCAGTGTCCTTTTGTTCATATTGCCTTGACTATCAGGGACTTTGTGCTTGCATATTAAGATTTTATTACTTTTTTGTTTTTTATATATACTATGATTACATAATTTCCCTCTTCTTTTCTTCCCTTCAAATGCACCCATATTACTCTTTTGCTCTCTTTAAGTTTATACCAATTTTTCTATGTTGTTACATGTGTATATGTATATGTGTGTACAAAAGTATAAAGAAAACTTGCTTAGTCAAATATCTATATTTCTTTTGGGGTCTGACTATCTGGTTTTGGATAAGCAATTGATGAGTTCATCCTTGGGGAAGACTATTTCACCTCTCACCATTTCTTACTTGACTGCGGTTCTGTCTGAGTCCTCAGGGGCCTTCCCCCACTCACTTTTGGCATAACTATTTTGATAACTTTGTTAATGGAACTGTTTGGGCAATCATGTCAGGGAGACTTTATGGATATAGCTTCTGATATTGCTAGGAGATTCTTTGTCACTGACAGGTCCCTGATTTTAAAATATTTCCACCATTCTTCTGCTACATTACTTGAGCCTTAGGTGTGGAACTATTTTGCAGGCATAACTGTGAGCACTGGGCTCTGTGAATCTTCAATTTCATTGGTGTTGCATTCTTTAATGGTCACTGTTAGAAAGAGACATTCCCTTGATGAGGTTTGAGGACTTCTATTTCTATGAAGAATGACTTGGCATTTCACTTTTGATTCATTAATTATGTAGATTGCTTTAGGTAAGGTGGCCATTTCAGAATGTTATTTCTTCCAGCCCAGGACTATGGGTGCTCTAACTTTTCGTGTCTTTGTTACTGCCTTTTTTCAGAGTCTTCATTGTATATGTCTTTCAGAAACTCAGTTAGATGCGTATAGAAATTGTTTTGGTTTTCTTTCTGTTTTTGAGCCTATATGAAAGTGACTGTTTACATGATTTTATTAGTATATCTCTAACCACTGTATATGAAGGCTACTGACATTTTGATATTAATCATATAGCATACCATATTGCTTAAGTCTTTGTCAATTTAAATAATTTTCTGGGGAGTCTTAGAAGTTTTATGTCATCTGCAAATAAAAGTAGTTTTATGTCTTCACACTTGTATACTTTGTATTGGTTTCCTTTACCTTGTTCTAGCTAAGACTGTCAGTATTATATTGAATAGAAGAGATGGTGGACAATGTTGTATTGTTCTTGACATTTCTGAAAATGTATAGAGATTTTACACTTTTAATATAATGTTAGCTGTGCTTTTTAAAATATAGATTTTATTATATTGGGATATTTTCCTTTCATGCAGAGTTTCTTCAAGACATTCAAAATGAAGTGATGTTACTCTTGGTTAAAAACCTTTTCTGAATCTTTGGAAATCACCATGTGATTTCTGTTCTTGAGTCCATTTATGTAAATTAAAAATGAATTAATTTACTTATTTTTGAGGTTTTGCTATAGTAAACCAATTCAATCATGGTGAAGAATCTATTTTAAAAATATTTTTATATTATAGTTTAACTACATCGTATCTTCCTTTCCCCTCCTTGGTTTTTTTTTTAATTCCTGGACACTTTTTCTTTACATCTTGGTCATTTTAGTTGTGTGTATGGGTAGTATATGCAAATGAATGTAAGTACCCTCAGAGGTCAGAAGGTCATATTCTCTGGACCTGTGGTTAGAGGCATTTCCAAGCCAGCTGATCTGAAGGCTCTGAATTCATTTCAGTTCCTTTAGAAGAACAATATGCACTATTAATCACTGTACCATCTCTCTAGACAACTACTTTTATTTTCATCACCCAAAAGCATATTATTAAATCACCGTGGTCAAGGGTTTCTTTTGTTATTAATTTGTAGCTTCATTTCAAAACAATCAGAGAGAATACAACAAACTTTTGATTTTCTTACTTGCTTGGTGACCTATTTCATGGTGATCTATTTTAGAGAAAGTTCTGTTTACTTCTGAGAACAAAGTGTACTCTACAGGTTTGGATGGAACATTTTATAGATTTCCGTTAAGATATTGGATCAGTTTCACTTAACTGAGTCAGGAAGAATTGTCAGTTGGTGCCAGTGAAAGCAATTCATTACAATTTTGTGCTAGAGTTAACCTATGAATCACATCTGGAAGTGTTTAGGTTTTTTTTATGAAATTGAATGCACCTATGTCTGAGGCATTGTCTTTAAAGCTGTGATACTCTATTTGTAAAATGTTTCCCTAGTCAGGATGTTTTCTATGTGAATTTTATTAGAATACCTTTATACGTCCTTAATTTTAATGTAATCTTTGTCTTTTGTCATTAGGTAAATTTCTTGGAAATCAAGAAATTATATAGTTCTTGGAAACAAATATATGATCTCTCACTATTAACTCCAGCAAGTTTCTTTTGATTGGGAAATTAGAATGATAATTATTCAGTTATTTTTAAAAGGTGTGTATTGATTTCTGTTATTCTTCAGGGTTTTGTCCCAATCACTCTTATGCTTTGTATTTTTCTAGCATGATTGTTATTTACCTAGATTCTTACAAGAATTGTATTTTCTTTTGAATGACTCATTCAAGAAGCTTCTGTATGTCTGGGCATTGTGGTTGTAAATTCAGTTCTTTAATCTATTTTTATCACAAGGAGTTTTTGTTTAATTTTTAAAGATATTTTTGCTGAGTC